GAAAATTGTATTAAATGACCTTTGTTATCTCTTACAACTCTAAAATTATACGATTTTGTGTAACAGAAGTAGAACTGAAAGTCATCAGAAAAAGAATATTCTATTCTATTTTAACTATGTGGGAATGGGAAATGTGGAAACAACCCACTGTCATTGTTTTTAATCAAAAATGATCCAACCTTTTTTTTAATTGAACATGCAATTCATTTCTAACTTACCAAAATAAGCAAATGTGAGTTTAACATGCTGTTTGCAGCTAAGATAATTAGGACTCCAAAGTTTTGCTTATCATTAGAACTTAGAAATTGGGGACAACTGTCTATTACTGATTGATCATCAAAATATGACAATATGGAGGGATGGGTACTTGATCATTGTATAACTGAAACCCAAGCACAAAAAGTTGTAAGTCTACAACTGTACCTCATGGTGTTTCACTAATAAAAAATTAAAAAATATATGACAATACCAAATTTTCAACTCTGTGTAAGTCTGTAAAGCCTATACAGTATGAGAATGTCTAGTACTTATCTGTACTGACATGAGTGTGTGATATGACAAGAGCAGTTTTCTCTATGCACTGCATAAGAGTTGCTTCTATGTTGCAAAGACATTGTTTATGTAGTAATGTTTATCTGCAAATTACTCTTTGCTCTAACAATAAAACCATGGTAAAGGAAATCCTTTAACAGAGTTTTATCTTGTTAGTTTTAACTAGTTTATTCAATTTATTTTATATTCAAAATCTATGTACACTGAAATAAGGGATAAGGGGCCTTTCATATAATTTAAAAACGCAGCCAATGCAAATACTTAAATGTTTTCAAATACTTATCTTCAACAGAATATCCAATGATAAACAAAAGGCACAAGGTAAGAAAATATATATTAGCAAAAGTTGCAAATCACTGACATATTCATATGAAGAATAAGAGCAAGTTGGCAGTACGCTAAGATTAACAAAACGTTAGGAATCTTATATTTATATATATTGCCTTCCAAAATCAACTTATGTTTAAACCAGCTATTTCCACAAACTGAGCTTTGTCAGCATCTAAGGGAAAGGGGAAAAACACTTTTGTGTTATATCAAAGGGTTCAAACACTCTGGTGGAAAAGTAAATTCGTATTCTGAATTTGTCCAAATGCTAAGGCCTCTTTCTGATTTGTGTAAGTGGCCTTCAGATAAGAACTGTTCAAATTTTTCAAATTATTCCACCAAGACATTTTAATATTAAAAACCGCCAGGAAGGTCTTTTAACATTGGTTTTAATTTAATTTTTGTGGACAAATAAAGTAAAAATATTTTTTCCCACTGTGCTTTTATCTTTTAAAAAAACTGAGGTCGGGGTTGGAGAGATAGTGCAAGCAGGCAGGACACGTGCCTTGCACTCAGCCAGCCTAGTTTGATCCCCACACCCCGCTAGGAGTGAACCCTGATTACAGAGATTACAGAGATGGGAGAAAGCCCTGAACACTATCAGGTATGGACCCAAACCAATAAAAATCTTAAAAACTGAGGTAATATTAGTTTACACAACTGTATTATGCTTTAAGAGGTACAATGGTAGCATGCTAGCATATCATAATGCCACTAACGTACTAATATCTCAGTTCTATGATCTGAGGACACAAGTTTGTTTTCATTTGATATTGTCTGTTTCCTTGTTTTGCTTTTTATAGTGTAAATATGAGTAAGATCATTCAATATTTTTGGCTTTAAAATGTTCAATAGGCTTTAAAATAAAGGAATATAAGAAAACTATCATCTCAATCCCTTCTCAGAGCCTGTATTTCTAAAGAGTAGTTCATATATATTATATAGGTGAATATATAATTATATTTTAATATATACTGACATAAATATAATGTTACAAGTCTGATTAAGGAAAAAGCATTTTGGGGCAGGAGAGGTAGTACAGGGATTAAGGTGCTTAACTTGCATCCCTGTGACCTTGGTTCAATCCCTGGTACAGCATAAGGTCCTCTGAGCAGTTGAGCAGTGCCAGTAATAACACTTGAATACTGCCAGGTGTGACCCAAACCTCTTCCTTGCCCACCTTTCCCTCAAAAAAGAGAAAACATTGTAAGATTTAGCTCTGCTCCCTACCATGATTGTTTCTGAGATAATTTAAGTTTTATAAGCTGAAAACACTGATAGGAATGAAATAGAGATCACCTCTAATCAGATGAAAACAAAATAGATTCAAGTCTGTTAGTGGGGAAATTTTTCACACTCAAAAAACATTTCTATCATTCTCTGACAAAAATGTTCTCCATGTAATGGAATCATTTACTCTGAACCACTAATCACACTTGAAATGAATATAGCTAGTGGTTACTTTAATCTTCACGATCACAATCATCCTGTTGTTCGTCAATTCGTCAGGCACCAGTAACGTCCCCTTCTACCTAGCCCTGAGATTTTAAAAGAGCCATTTCAATGCTCTTTCAGGATTAGGAGGATGAGAATCATCATTGTTACTGGTATTTGGCATATTGAGTACGACACAGGAAGTTTACCAGACTCTGCCGTGCTGGCAGAATACTTTTTGTAGCCTGCCAGGTTCTCCAAAGGAAAGATAATAAGATGTCGCGTGGCCGCATTTGCAGCCGTGTGCTTCCAGGAACTGGGTTTTATAGTCTCTGCGTCTTGGCCATTGATGGGACCAACCTGGCGCTGGCGGCAACTGGTGCGTGTGACGCCTACCTACTGGAAGATGGGGGGTCTGAGTGGAGAAGGCCCAGTCCAATCCGAGTAGGCTTGGAGACCTCAGCCCCGGGACCCGCATGCCTGGGTTCCTCTGCCAGTTCTTTCATGCATGAGGCCCGTCCGGACGCATGGAGAGTGGTCCCAGCATGGCCTGGCTGGCTCCGGAGGTCCTCAGCTGCTGGGGCTCTGCTCGGGGTTGTGGGGGGACGGGGAGAGAAACTCAACCCTCCCCCCTCCAAGGGGCACTGGTGAGGACAGCCAGACATGGGGGCAGAAGACTTTAATCTTAATGTATACAAATAAATGAAATCTTTCTATCAGCATCGATGAATATACATGAAAGAACATAATAGAAGCAATTTTTTAAGCCTAGGCTAACCATACTTCTAGTAATGCTGCTAATTTATTCGAAGGATGTACTTTCCATCACACCCCCCTCTGCCTGCTCAAAATAGCACTGTCTATGACTTCAGAGTAAGCAATGTCCAAAAACACAATTCTGCAGTAGATTATAAATTTCAACATTAACTGCAACTTCAAAAACAAGGCCATACATCACTTATTCTTGTGTGGATGATTATTAAATACTGACTGCAAGCTACTTATCAAATTGCTTTTATATAACAAAATTGGGTACCCAAGTTAAGTTCAGATAAGCTGCAAACCAATGATAAAACAAAAAAAGGTGTTAGTCTCATTCATACAAAATTATTAAAGCATATTAACACCAGAAACCAGTGACATAATTATTCTGAATTTTTTAGAGAAATAGTACTTCATTACATGTAGTTATCTGGGTATTCATGAATCTATTTAAATGATTACTATCAAATAAATGAAAGCAAATTTAAATTGGAAAAGAGAAGAGCTTTTTAAGTAAATCCAACATCTTATTAATTACTTCTGTCAGGTAAAACTTGGGTTATATTTTTTGGCTCCATGTGATATCAAGTTTGAAGGCAGTCATTAAAATACTGAAAAAGAGAAGGCTTTGTAATAAGATGATTCTGAAGTGTCAACAGATAACCAAAGAGTACATGTACATGTTCCTCTCTTATTTACTGAAAAGTCTTTAATCATTTTTTACTTTTATTGGTTTTTGGATCATACTCAGCAATACTCAGGGCTTATTCCTTGCTAAGATGACCATATGGGGTGCAGGGGATGAAACAGCCAGCCATGTGCAAGGCAAGTACCCCACCCACTGTACTATTGCTCCAGTCCCAAAGTCTTTAATTATTTTTAGGTAGCTATCAGTCTACATATATGTGTGTAAACACACTTAATTTAGTAGTTACTTTTTATAGCTTCAAATTTCAAACGAAGTGCATTTAAGATCACTCCCAGTATGGAAACTCTTAGGCAGGTTTTATAAATCTTTAAAACAAATACATGTAAATTGTGGTCCAAAACAAAATCACCCACTCATTTTGGTAAAAAAAGAAAGTTCCCATCATTAGGTAGCTGTAACAACAACAGAAAAATATTCTCATACTAAAAATTAATAATGATGGTTTCTTCTCCAAAAGATAAATTCAAAAATACATTTTTAAAAGGAAAACATATGTATTTGGCAAATACAGCACCTGAATTACAAATGCATATTTCTAACTTTAATGCGTTTGCAAATTTGTTTGCGTATCAGAGTACTTTAGTAGTCAATAGGGAAAAATAATAACTTATGCTGTTCTCTAAATTATTTTTTTAGTTTTGGTTTTTGGGCCATCCCCGAAGGTTTTCAGGGCTTATTCCTGGTTCTGTGCTCAGGGCTTATTACTCCTAGCTCTCTGCTCAGGGATCACTCCTGGTGATGCTCAGAGGACCATATACTGGTGCTGGGGATAGAAATGGGGTTAGTTGCATGCAGTGGGTAGGGCACTTGCCTTGCACATGGCTGGCTGTTTCATCCCCTGCACCCCATATGGTCATCTTAGCAAGGAATAAGCCCTGAGTATTGCTGAGTATGATCCAAGGGTCTTAATTCCTGTACCATCTCTATGGTCTCTTTTTTCTTTTTGAAAAAGCAATTTAAACATACTTTCCACTGAAAGTAGCAGCATTGTAAGATTTTTAAAACCAGTACAAGTTGAAAACCAAATAGATTCACTTGACTACACAATAGCTATCAGGCTTCAAATAAGATGGTAACAAGATTATGCTGAATCCAATAAAGGCAGTACAGGACAACAATTTGGGAATAAATATAAATACCACAGTAGACTAAGAAATGTAAAATTAAAGACCCTGTTCGAATAAATCTTAAAAGAAAGAAGAAATATGGAAAATAATAATGTATAATTTCTTTTTAATAAAACAATTCTCCTTCAGTGCAATGTATAATCAAAACAATAAAATGCCTCGTGTAACTTAGCAGGAACAGTTTCCACAGCCTTTCACACTGTTGATAATTTCTTCTTGTAGCTTTTTCCTTTCTTCCTCTTTTGACATCTGGTTTTCCTTTGAATTCCATTTGGGGTTATCATGGTGTTGCATACGGCTGCTCTGTGTATGCCACATTTCTGAATAGATACCACTAGGGTTAGCAAGCAAATCAAGATGGGTACCACGTTCAGCTACCTTCCCCTAAAAACAAAAATGAGAAATATAAAAGAAAGGTCATATAAATAACAACTGAAAATATACAATACTTTCTAAGGATTCTAAATTCACTTTCTGAATTCACTAAAATTATCTCTTCCAATGTCTAATCCAAAAGAAAATTGAGGGAAATCAAGGTAGTAAAGCTTCCATTACCTTAAGTCTATCTGTCTTATTAAACCAGTGTAATTCTATGTACTACTTACAGGACATTAAATTTTAATGTTTATTTTTCACTTGAAGGTGGAAAAAACAAAAAATGTGGCTTTTTCTATAATATTTAAAATTTAATTTTAATTGGTCAAATGACATTTAGTATGTTTCAAATGTGCATCACTGAAAATGAACATGTATATATGCTACATTATGTTCATTGCTAAAAGTCATTTCTACCCTTTACCACACACTTGTTACCCTTTTCCCAATTTACATACACTGTTTTCTCCATGCCTTCTAGTAAACACTAACTGGAATGATAGACCAAAAACTTTTCTTTTGTTTTATTCATCTTCTCATTCTTTTATTCATTCTTTATATACCCTGAATGAGTGAAATAAGGTCCTTTTCTGTCTGGCTTATTTGACTAAGCGTGATATCCTCTAGGTCAGGGTTTCTTAAAACTCTTTCCCACTAATGATCCCTTTTTTGAGAAATTGTTATATGATCTTGGGTATACAAATATATGTCACAGGCATACAAAGGTAGGATAGTCATCTTAATAATACTGATTCTTCCAATCCATGAGCATAGATCTAGGTAAAGTGCGGCTTTCATCTTTTTTCACAGGTGAATCATACTCCAAATCCTGTTGATTTTTCAGTATGGGGAAATTTAGTTTTGCAGATATTGGTAAATTTAATTAATACTGCATTTAACACGGGAGTACAAACAATTTCAAATTCTCAATGATTTTGTATTTTTTGGTAAATAACCAGAAGTGGAATAACTGAATAAAGAGTATCTAATTTAAATTTTTAAAAAAATTTCTGTACTGCTTTCCATAAAGGCTACACTGATTTATATTCCCACCAATAGTATCTATAGGTTCTCTTTCATGTGTATCCTCTCCAACAAAAGATGCCTCTTGTCTCTGTATAATCACTAGTCGCAAAGATATAAGGTTGAATCTTCTTAACAGTAAAAGAGGCTGGGCATCTTTTCATGTGCCTACTGGCCATACGTATGTATGTCTTTCTTAGTGTAATCAGGTACTCTGTCCACTTTATAATTGTTTTTTTGTGAGTTGTTTGTATATTTTGTATATTAACCACTGTCAGATATATGTACTATCTGGATGCCTTTTGATTTACACAAATCTGTTTTGCTGTGTATAAATTCTTGATTTATAAAGTGAAACATTTGTTTTCAATGTTGTTTCCCTTTTAACTGTAGTCAATTCTCCCAAACACATCTTTAAGATTGTCATGGAGTGTATATGTTCCTTAATATATTTTACGGTTTCAGATCTTACATTCAAGTCTTGAATGAAATTTTGTGTATAGTGTTCAACAGAGTCTAAGTTTTCTTCTTTTATGGGTTACTATCCAGTTTTTTCAACACTGTTTGCTGAAGAGAATCTTAGTGCTCCATTTTAAATGCTTGGCTCCTTTGCTGAAAATTAATTATCCATTTATTGTAGTTTTATTTATGGGCCCCCTGTTCTGCTCCACTAATCTATATCATCTATTTAAAAATATTTTATTTTAGGCACCGTGATTTACAATATTATAAAATGGTGGAGTTTTATGCATAAGATATTCTTTTTTTTTTTTTTTTTTATTAGTGAAACACCATGAGGTACAGTTACAGACTTACAAAATTTGTGCTTGGATTTCAGTTATACAATGATCAAGTACCCATCCCTCCACCAGCGCCCTTTTTTTTTTTTTTTTTAAGATTTTCTTTTTCCATTTTTTTCCCTTTATTTTATTTTATTTTTTTTAAAGTTGTAGATTTACAATTTTTTGTGCTTTGGTTTCAATTATACAATGATCAGATACCCATCCCTCCACCAGTGCCCATTTTCCACCACCATGGATAATATCCCTCCCACCCCCATCCCCCCATCCCCCCTGTCTCTGTGGCAGGGAAATCCCCTGTGTTCTCTCTCTCCTTTTGGGTGTTGTGGTCTGCAAAAGAGGCATTGAGTGGCAAACATGTTCAGTCCATAGTCTACTTTCGACATGCATCTCCCCTCCTGGGAGGATCCTCCAAACATCCTTTATTTGGTGCTCCCTTCTCTATCTGAACAGCCCTTTCCTCTAGGATACCCGGCTGGCCTTTAAGTTATGGAGTAATCCTCCTGGTGCTGATCTCAGCTATTCTTGGGTATTAATCTCATACTTTGTTACTTTATATCCCCCAGATGAATGCAATCTTTCTATGTCTATCCCTCTCTTTCTGACTCATTTCGCTTAGCATGATACTTTCCATATTGTACCACTTGTATGTAAATTTCATGACTTCATCTTTTCTAAGAGCTACATAGTACTCCATTGTGTAGATGTACCAAAGTTTCTTTAACCAGTCATCTGTTCTTGGGCATTCAGGTTTCTTCCAGTTTCTGGCTATTGTAAAGAGTGCTGCAATGAACAAACAAGTGCAGATGTCACTTCGACTATACATTTTTGCCTCTCTGGGATATATTCCCAGGAGTGGTATTGCTGGGTCAAATGGGAGCTCAATTTCTAATTTTTTGAGAATTGTCCATACTGTTTTCCAGAAGGGCTGAACCAGTGGACATTCCCACCAACAGTGAAGGAGTGTCCCTTTCTCGCCACATCCACGCCAGCATCGGTTGCTTTTGTTCTTTTGAATGTGGGCCAGTCTCTGAGGTGTGAGATGGTATCTCATTGTAGTTTTGATCTGCATCTCCCTGATGATTAATGATGTAGAGCATTTTCTCATGTGCTTTTTTGCCATTCGGATTTCTTCTTTGAGAAAGTTTCTGTTCATTTCATTGCCCCATTTTTGGATGGGGTTGGATGTTTTCTTCTTGTGGAGTTTAACCAGTATTTTGTATATCCTGGATATCAACCCCTTGTCAGATGTGTATTCGGTGAATATCCTTTCCCATTCTGTAGACTGTCTTTGTATTTTGGTCACTGTTTCTTTGGAGGTGCAGAAGCTTCTTAGTTTAAGATAGTCCCATTTATCTATCTCTGTTTTCACTTGCTCGGCCAGTGGCATGGCATCTTTGAAGATACCATTAGCTTCAATGTCATGGAGGGTTTTGCCAACTTTATCTTCAATGTACCTTATGGTTTCTGGTCTGATGTTGAGGTCTTTAATCCATTTTGATCTTACTTTTGTACATGGTGTTAGGCAGAGTTCTGAGCCTATTTTTTTGCATGTAGCCGTCCAGTGATACCAACACAATTTATTAAAGAGGCTTTCCTTACTCCACTTCACATTACTTGCACCTTTATCAAAGATTAGATGAGCATATGATTGAGGAGAGATGTCAGTGTATTCAACCCTGTTCCATTGGTCTGCAGTTCTGCCTTTGTTCCAGTACCATGCTGTTTTAATTATTACTGCTTTGTAGTACAGTTTGAAGTTCGGGAGGTTGATTCCTCCCATTTTCTTTTTCCCAAGAATTGCTTTAGCTATTCGTGGGGGCTTATTGTTCCATATAAATTTCAAGAGTGTTTGCTCCATTTCTTTGAAGAATGTCATGGGTATCCTTATAGGGATTGCATTGAATTTATACAATGCTTTCGGTAGTATTGCCATTTTGACAATGTTAAGTCTCCCGACCCATGAGCAGGGGATATCTTTCCATTTCCTCATGTCCTCTTTTATTTCCTGAAGTAGCGTTTTGTAGTTTTCTTTGTACAGGTCCTTTACTTCCTTAGTTAAGCTGATTCCTAGGTACTTGATTTTCTGGGGCACAATTGTGAATGGGATTGTTTTTTTCATGTTGCTTTCTTCTCTCTCACTGTTTGCGTATAGGAAAGCCATGGACTTTTGGGTATTGATTTTATAACCTGCAACTTTACTATACGAGTCTATTGTTTCTAGGAGTTTTTTGGTGGAAGTTATTGGGTTCTCTAAGTATGCATAAGATATTCTAGCACCACACTCTCCACCAGAGTATCTGCTTCCCTCTATCATTATCCCTGTGTTTCCTATCCTATCCCTTACCTCCCCTTCCATGGTAAGCGTCCTATTAAAGACCAAGTCTGTTGTCTTTGAGCAGGCTTTTCCTTACTAGTGGAAAATTGAATGATTTCATCTTATTTTATAGCCGAGTAGTATTCCATTATGTATATGTACCATAGTTTCTTTATCCAGTCATCTGCTTCTGGACACAGGTTGTTTCCAGATTTTGGCTATTGTTAGAATAAGGGTAGATACAGAGCATCTCCCTCATATATCGGCTATATAGAATATAGTAAATGACTGGAATCTAGTGGGAACCAATGCATGCAGTTTTTTTGTTCTTTATGGTGGTACTGTTGGAAGCTGCCACACTGGACTTGAGAACTGCCCATTAGGTCTGCCTGCAGCTGGGCAAGATCTCGAGAGTGACAGCTGTTTAGCCTATTTCAGCCTGTTCCAATTTAATAGGGCAAGATACCAGAAAGATTAGACCTTGGAAGCATTGTCAGCCAGCAAGGGACTTGTACGAAGACCTGTGAAGCACAGTGAGGCAGATATCAATGTACCAATTTGTGGTGATACAGAGCCACTTAGCTGTCAACTGTGACTCTCTAGGTGGTCAGCTATGTTGGGCCACTTTTTATCTAAATGGCTCCTCTACACTAGCCCCTTAAGTGTGAAAAAACAGGGGCTTTCAAGCATCAATGGCCTTGCACAAACCTGAATTATCTCATCAGTGCCACCCAGGTCTTTCAAAAACGGCCAACGGTCCTATAGCTGCCATATACTGGTACATTAGGAAGCCAAGACTTGCTCAAACTCACTAGTGCATCAAAATCTGCTCAAACTCAAGAGATCTATGACAGGGGGCAGAAATTGAG